CCTCCTTTTGGACACTCAAAATATGGTAACCCTACGTTAAGTTCCAGGGTTGAGAGTTGGACAGGCAGGTGGGGTCACCGTACTACTGAGGCAGCTGTGACTCTGATGGGGGGGGGGGAATGGAGCAGGAACCCCAGTGCAGAGCAGAGAGAGCCTCCAAAAGTGAGGGGGTGTAAGTCCCAGGAGGCATCTGCAGAACAAATTAGGGAGGCTTGAGATGGTCACAAATTCTCTTCCTCCTCCCCGCCCCCGCCAATCTTAAAATGGTTCCCAAGGAGCAGGGCTTCTAATCCACTCCACCTCCCAAAGCTGACCAGGAGAGTTCCAACAACAAATTTCCCCTCCCATCTTGGGGACTGGGACCCAGCGGGGAGGATTCTGAGACAGACCTCTTGAGAGGGCCCCTGGTCCTAAGGCAAGTGGCAAAAGTCCTCCCCAAAACTGCAGCAGAGCTTCTACTCCTCCAGTAGAAAGGTGAGTTATCTGGCTCTGAAACCTGACAGGCTCCTGTCAGTAAGCCTCAGAGCAGATTGCTCCCTTCAATATCCTCCCTTGAGGCTGCAATACCGCTTCACTTCTCCTTCAAGGAAGTGATTAAGGATAAATGGAACAAGCCTGATCAGGGCAGCATATTAACAAGAGTGACCTCAGGCTCTATAACATTCAAGAATCAAAGGGCTCTATTGTTGAGATACTGAAGGTTGATGCCACTGTAGCGTTCCTTGCCAGGGATATGGTTATTCCCTCAGAAGGGGAGTTCTACCCAAAAGAAACCATGGATAGAAAGATGGAAAGTGTAGACGCGATAAATCGATCCCCCAATTGCTCTCCTGTCGACTGCTGAACTCCAGCTCGGCGAGAGGCGGAAGCAAAGTCGACGGGGCAGCAGCAGCCGTCGAAGTAAGTGATTCTAAGTCGATCTAAGATACGTTGACTTCAGCTACGCTCTTCTCATAGCTGAAGTTGCGTATCTTAGATCGATTTCTCCCCCCCTCGCCCCCGCAGTGTAGACCAGGCCTTATAGCATAGTTGGCCTCAGGACCTACTTATGTATCTACCATTTCCAGTATTGGGGAAGGCAGTCCAGAAAATAAAATGAACAGGCAATGGTAATTCTGATAACTTATTGTTGGCCAAGGAGACCTGTGTTCTCAAACCTGATAAAGCTGAAACTGGAGCACTCATTCCTGCTTCTGTGAACATCCTTTTGAAGGTTCTCTTTTTCATCCTGACTGAAGTGGCTTCAACTAAAAGCCTAGCTATTGAGAGGGAA